ACTTTTACTCACTTAGAAGCTGTTCTCACTAGAATGCATTATCAAGATATATGGTGAACGCACCAGATATGACGACATTCGAGAGACTCATAGACTTTCATCTTAGTGATAAACGCTACACAACAGTTTGATAAAGTGCGATGGTTTAACCATTTATACTTCACGTTCGACGATGAAACGTTTTAGTTTTAATTTTCCTATGCATATCCATCCTGTGGGTCTCGTAAAGTTATGCTTTTTATCCCAGCATACACTATAGAACTATTGAAAAAGAACATGTTTTGTTGTTTGTCACTTTCATCCCCTTGCATTCAAACAAGCACACTTAAGGTGATAATGTTTACGGCATTCAGAACACATAATATGAGTTCGAACCGTAGTCGCAAGGGCTGAACAGCTGTGACTCGCTTGGCTTCGTTCCGGGTCATGTTCCCAGCTATGTCCAGGTGCACACACACACAAGGGCACAACAAATCACGAAAGTGGTATTCTGACATGGGTAGGCGATCAGCCGCTAGACGTGACTCACGCCAGTCACACAAATCGGAATAAGCGATGCATCGTGTTCCGATCGATGGCGATTGCGGTAGCCACCGCGAAACTGGACGCTTTGCATCGTTGGATATTTGATGAACAGCAGTAAACTGGTAGCTGCGAATACGATGCGGCGACTAAACATAGTGGTTGATAAGCAAGAGTTTAGAATATTCATGCAACCTAGAACAAGCTGGTTTGAGTAAGGTTAAAAATATAACAGGAACTTAAAATGGAGGTAGTTGTGCGCGTGAGTTTTGGTAACAACTCTGTTCAATTTAACGAAGTGAATAGGGTGTTGCAGCCGTAAGAATACTCTTACTATGTACTACTGACTTTGTGAAGCCGAGAAATCCGTGTAGAATGAGTGTAAGCTAGATATCGAACAGCGACATGATGAGGAATAACTTACAAAAATCGCAAGTTCCGAAATGGTGCAACCGCACCGTAACGCTGAGCGAAGATAAGGTGGTCGATAGGAGTACCGGGAAAGCGTGGCAAGCAAACAAGACTGAAGTCGTGCCAACAAACCTGAGTGACGCTAGTAACAGCCAAATTTCGACCCTTCGATATATATTTTACAGCGAATAGGAAACATAACTCGTTAATGACACATTCAGCGCAATGGTGATTAGAATGGATCAAAGGAGGCGGATTCGGAGTAAAGAATTCATTTTGGTAACTCTCAAGCTCTACATGATGGCAATTATCTGCTCAATGTGCCGGATAGGCGACGTATTGATTAGAGTGTTTAATTCCAACGGAAACAAATCAATAAAGCACGCGGTCACTGAAATTGACAGATTATGTACAAGGGGCAAGTCACTTTCACAAACAAAGATTAACTTGGACACAAATCAAAGGAAGTTGTAGGCCACTGTAGAAGTAGAGGACGTACAAATTGTCTTTGTACGCATAACTACGGCTTGAGGTGGCGAATATAGATAGGATCCGCAATGTATAGGAGGTGCTTCCGGAATCCGCAAGAGAAACACTCAGGAATAGTGTAAATCACACCGAAATCATTTTATGTTCTTGTGTGATCGCACTCTAAGAGGTGCGACAAGATGGAGCTGTTACAAGACCAGGCTTCGCCTCTGTAATACCACTTCGGAATGTGTTCGCCAATCCTATGAGATAGGTGACTCCTAGTATGACCCACGTATCGTGCACCACAGAAGTAAGAGTATTGATAAACAAGCATTGATCGAGTCAACGGAGGTAGCCTATCTTTCAAAGGTTTTGCGAGTAAAGGCTTGTTGTAGTATAGTATGCGTAGGCGAGTTGCGAAATGGATCTTTTCAACTGCGTCTTTTAGGGCCTTTGGACAGGGGCTCAGCCGCACTGTCGCATTTGAAAGGAAAATGCACAATGAGTTCTTTGTTGGTGGTGGTGTCTCGCGTTCTTTCAAATGCATGAGGATGAATTTATCTGGATACCGATTCGGCACTGATTCTCGGCAGTTCCTTGGTGATGGCATCCGGTGTGCAAGTTCTGTGTGCCCGGCAGGCACAGGTGCGGACTAGATTTCGTTTTTACTGTAGTGGTAGAGCACTATAGAAGTTGGTGTACTGGCCAGTCCAGGTTGGTTTTCTATACACTGTTCTATTGCACGATCCATCGATGTTTCTGATGACATCAACGTCCAGAAAAGGTAGTCGGTTTCCGGACTCGTGTTCACAGATGAATTGTAGATTATGATGCGCACATACGGATAGAGACCATTGCACTTATTGCGTGAAAGACACTTTCGAGTTCATTGAAAGATAAGGGAAGTGAACCTTAAGAACAAATGGATGTTATCATCTGACGCTCAGTCGTTGTTTACGAATATGCCGTTATTGGAAATAGTGGAATATGTTTCAGTGAATTAGTACGACAACTGAACGTTCCTATGAATCTCTCGGAGAACCTTCTGAAGGAAGTGTTACTTAGATGCACCTTATACGTGCAGTTGAATTTCAACGGGGAGATGTATCTTCAGATTTATGGAGTTGCCATGGGATCACCATTGGGGCCCCTTCTAGTAGGTGTCTTTTTGGCGAAGTTGGAGCATAGTTCAGTAAGACCACGTATGAATGGAATCGGAAAGTATATACGTTATGTGGACAACACATTTATCCTCTGCAAATCGAAAATGCAGGCTGTGAAGCTGTTAAAAGCCCTTGATGAGGTGCATCAGAATCTACAATTCATCTGTGAGCACGAGTCCGGAAACCGACTAAATTTTCTGGACGTTGATGTCATCAGAAACTGAGTAAAACAGTCGTGCCGGTGGTTTCTGTAAAGAGAAGTCGAGGACTTGTAGCAACAAGCTCAAAAGCAAACTAGAATGAAACAGCCGACTGCCCGACACTTGCCATGATGTCAACAGACACTACTGATGCTCCGTTTCTATACAGCTGCTAGCTGTCGTACGTAAGCTTAGCTACTGTCGACGGCACAAATCTAGACAGAGGTGGTGACTTGAACTAGGATGTGACTGCACACCAATGCAAGTTACACAAGTTATCGTCACTTCACGACGCAAATCAGACGTGGCACATTGTATTTTCCAACACTATATGGACACTGAGAGTTGAAGCAGCACTGTGGCAACTGAACATAACCATGTCAGATTAGCCGTATGGGAATAATATAAGCATAGCTTCTTCTCGGAATTTAAAAACATAACTATTAGAACAGAGTATGACCCTTGCTTTTGGAAAAGACGCACTATGAAACAGGTCAGCTTGCATACCGAAGAAGTATACGTAATTGGAGTTGAAGCGGACACTTTCAAATTGCAAATGCGAGTAGCTGGAGTGTAACAATAAGAAATAAACAACAAGTCACCACACCTCACATCTCAATGTGATCACCATGTCATTGTACTCGTCTTCCGGTCTTCTATAGCAGAAAGTTAAACAAAGTCAGAACTGTGACATTATTCACTTTAGTTGAGCTATTCGAACCAGAAAGAAAAAAGAGGAAGAGAAGAAAAGGAAAAAAAGGAAAGGGAAGCAAGGAGTGAAGGAATAGGGTCAAACAGAACGGCAAAGTCAACAGGCATGACAAGACAAATGGTGGCTTAAGGGTTACAAAAGGAGTGCCTTCACAAGGAGTGGGAATGTTTCAATTTATCCCGGAAGGAGCGCAGTAACCGCTGTGTCAAGCGGGACTAAGAATCGTCAGGCGTCAATCTTTGAGAATGACCAGCAATAACATAGCTGTAATTCGTTCAACCGCGCCGTCGATAGATATGTACAACAAGATGCGTAAAACCAGCAAACCCGCCCCCGCTGAAAATTGAAATGAGGGAAAAATCAAAAGAGATTACTTAAAAAGGCTCGGAACAATAAACCCTGTAACTCCTACAGAACAATAAGTCCAGCGGTGGCGAAGTGGCACAAGAGAGAATTAGCTGCATTATTCGATTGCAGACATTTAATCCCCAACCGAATAACACAGCTCGGAAAAAACTCAACATTTAACCCCTATATCCAAGCTACAAATATTTCACTTGTTAAAAAACAGCTCAGAAGTTTGGCTTGCAACCTACGGCTCGCCGCTTCGAAGCCACGTAAGTGCCAGTGACCTGGTGATATGCCAATCTATCTACAACTACTAGAGGCGGCATGAAATTCCGGTATACTAATGATGCCCCTTTAGTATTCTTTTTACAGCATGAGAAAAAGTTGTTAGATGGCCAGACTCCCGGTATAGTCTGGAAATATTTGACATGGAGTCCCGTTCATCTGGTAGATAGCACTAGATCGATACATAAATCCTCGAGCAGCAGAGAAAGTCGCCCCCGTCCGGGCTCTGACCGAGTCAGATCAACAGCGGATTCAGCTTCAAAGTACGCATAGAATGAACAACTTTATTCGTACTCTTCTGCCTTACTGTGAACTCGTGGATAAGGAAGTAAACACACGCAAAGAATGCGAATTCATTCTTTTGAACAGGTGCGACTGGATGATGGTCGAAAAATGGGAACTTTAATTGGTGGGCTACAGAACACTGTTGGAGATGAATCTACAGGTATGAACAAGGTCAGCTGAAACGTCTCAAATAAAATGTAAGAGTTCAGGTTGCAGTGTAAAAGGTCCGGGTCTCATACTGACGCCGAAATGAAAAATAAGAAACAGTAGATCGATAATTGGTGTTGCTTGCCCGAAAACAGCCCACAACGGGTTCCGAACTTGTTGGATCTCATTAGGTTGGGAGAGCAGCCACTCGAAGCGCCCACCCTTAGGTCAGCGAGTCGCAATGGGCAACGGCTTGTCACGACGGTTATCGGACGAGCAAGGCCAAATTTGCATCTCCTTCAGCAGTTACAGTCCCAATGATCGTACTGAGCAAGACTCACTTCAACGCAAATTGTGTGATCGCGCGTCGCAACTCATTCTCACACAATGAGTGCTTCAAAATGACCGTCCAATCAAAAAAAAACAGCAGATTTCTATATAAAACATTAAGATCTTCTACTGAAATTCGTAAGCAAAAATAACGCACAGTGCAGATGGAGTGGCCAAAGAACTCACCTGCCCCGGGGTCAACTCGGCGAGACCTAGGAGGGAAATCTTGTCAGACGGCTGAATAAGGTCATAATCGTTGGGGTTAACGAAAGTGAGTGGCAACATGCCTTGCTTTTTCAGATTAGTTTCTGGAACAGAACGATGAATGAAGACGCATAACTGAGAAAGATGAGCACAATTCAGACGTAACGAAAACAAATTGGTGGGGAAGGGAAGTGATGAGAGGTTAAGCTGTGCAATATTGCACCGGAAACAAATGTATCGCGATTACAAACTGAGGTAGAGTTCAATGATCGAGTGAACAAGAAAATGTGACTACTTTTGACAGGTGAGAGAATAACAAACGCATTTCGTTGTCTTCACTGCTCTATGCGAAAGTGATTAATTTAGGATCACCAAATCCGAAACAGACGTTCTGAATGTTGTCCACAACACCGGTGCGTATAACATAGTCAAAATGATAACCGAGAGTGAATAGTTGTAGAGATTGCCGCATTGCTTACGGGTATTACTGGTGTACGTGGGTTGAATGAAAAGTCTTGAGCTTGGCACAGAAATCAGATAGCTAGGCAAAGCCAAATAACGTTTTTTTAGTGAACTACCACTTTTTCTTATATATTTTATGCAAATCCATATTTCTACCGCTTTTACTTTCATTTCAGCAGATTTTTGTAATTTGTTGAAAATGGAGAAATCGGATCGTCGTACAGTGATCAAACATTTTTATCTCAAAGAAATGACACCATCAGCAGTGGAAGGGTGCATCATCTACGCCAAAGTAGGCCAAAGTTACACCGTCAGCTGACAAGGTGATGGCTTCCGTATTTTGGGATTCACGAGATGTGGTGATGATTGACTTCCTTGAAGGAGGCTATAGCATCACGGGAAAGGATTATTGTGAGCTTTTGAAACGTCTCCGAGAAAAGAGGCCAGGAACGCTGACGAGAGGAGTCATTCTCCACAACGTAATGTTCTAGTCCACAACTCTTTCGCTGCTCAGAAAACAATTCACGATTGCGGCTTTAAGCGTCTTCCCCACCCATTATATTCACCAGATCTGTCTCCCCAATGACTTCCACCTATTTTCAGACCTGAAAAAAGCTTCAGTCGGTAAACGTTTTCGCAATGGCAGTAACGTCACTGAAGCCACAGAAGCGCTTTTAGAGTCGCAATCTGAAGAGTTCATCTCCACTGTGATAAAGACGCTTCAGCACCGCTGGAGCAAGTGTGTTGCGCTCGAGAGTGAGTAGGTTGAAACACAAAAGCATCGAAGACTCGGCATCACGTTTGGTGTTTTGAGGCAAAACTTTTCCCTCACCCACGCACAAGCAAGGATTCACATGGCACTGTTTCCCGGATTAAAAGCAAAACGTACACACGAGTACAACGTGTGAACAAAGGCGCAGTCTGCAACATTGGAGCGTGAGTAATGAGCCCAAGATAGAAGTGACTCGCGGCAGTCAAATTACAAGCGGGGGACCTGCTGAAATATCTCAGTGGGTGAGCTACCTTAGACACGAAGTCATGTCAGAAAGTCAACAAGCTGGGAAGTTCGCCAGAAGGGTTCGAGAGGATAAATTATTTCCTGGGAGTTATTAATGTGAACACCGGTGAAGAAGCGCTCTCTACCGGACGGGTAAAGAGCTTGGTGAGGATGACCGAAGGAGACTGTTTGAACTGGGGCACTCAAAAATATCGAGTTCCCTATTAACAGCAGTAATGCTACACAAATGAGCCAAGATGACGACAAGCATGGAAGTCATGAGTTGACACCGACCAACTACTATAACTTGGTAGCTCATTTGGAATTAGATGACCTTCGTTTTGCCACAAAATGAGGGCTAATGATATCCAGTTTAAAGCTAAAAACAGATGCTATACAAGGGGTGTTCAAAAAGAAACCGAACTTTTGAAATAGCACAGCAACCGGCAGAGAGAGCGCGTTGCAGCTACTGAGCGCAGGTGGAGGCTTGTTTAGACAACAAACTGCCATTTGCGACATTTCGCTCTGACTGTTGGCGAGGTACAGTCGCTGAAGTGAGCACGAGCACAAGCTGTTCGCCGGATAATTGCCAAAGAGACAATGAAAAAGCTTGGAGAACGTGTGTGTGTGTGCCTGTGTGCGAAATTCTGGTACGAACTTGGCAAAACCATTACAAAAACATTTCGAGCGTTTAGCCAGTTATACGGTGAGGATCGTATGAGTCGCATGCAGTGTTATAAGTGGTTTAACTGTTTTGAACACGTCAGAATGTCACTCGGTGACGATCCTAAGGCTGGACGACCTTCCACATCGACAGACAATGACCATGTCGAGAGTGTTCGTGCTGTGATCGATGGAAATCGTCGTTAACTGCTCGAGAAATTGATGGCGAAGTGGGCATCATGCAATGAAATGGAAGTGAACAGTTCCATTAACACAAAATGAATTACTTGCGAGTGTATACGGGAAAGAAACCGAGGATGATGGTAGGAGAAGTGGTAACGTATGTGAACCGTACCGGTAACGGTTGCTTCGACTCAAATCAATTAAAAAGACGTAGCACAACAAAAGTGGGTATTCAGAGTGGGTACCCACCATGGATGCGGGCGAAGCTTTTCACAATAATGGCCTTGCCACCCAAATGTCTGGGCTCCAACGCTGCGTGCTCGCGACTACTCCCTTCGCCATAGTTCTCATCTCCAACCACACACCAGGAGACGCCGTCTGCTTTGTAACGTCTAGCCACGGCGGGCACGCTGTCCCAGACTCCAGAAGGACGATGCATTACTTTGTTCATTTCCCCGTTCTCCGCATTCGTTGCCCTGGAAATGACGATTGGGGTCACCAAAGGTGCCCGAATGCCGAGAGTAACGAAATAATTAAAAATGCAATCATCAAACTAAGAGTATAGGGTGGGACAATAAACCAACGTAGCGGGGGATGAAATGAACCACATCACACGAACAAAGCGAAAACTAAGATTTGGCCAAACAGTTAGCTTACTGCAAATCGCTATGGACGCGAAACAGTATCAAACGCGAAAGGTAATCATCAGCATTATCATCAACAACAACAGTACAACAGCCATTTGAACTGATGACTCACTGCCGTACAACAACGGTGACATAGGATCAAAGCATAATAAGAGGAAGAGAATGTGACCTAGCGTGAAACTTTAATGCCTAGGCCCTGTGTCAACAACATGTCGTCACAAACAGCTGGCTATCGTGCAATGATAAGGTGGCATCGGTGAGACAGCGCCTCCTTGCAGCTTTCATTGCAACGCCTCATAATCAACCATTACCCCTCAGAGAACTCGGCATCAAACACACTTTAAACAGGCAGTCCGACTAGAAGACGGACAGCAGACGTGCCAATGATGCGGACTGCGACACATGTCCTTCACGCCTCAAGCCAAGCACAAGGTGAGTCAGTGGACTACAGCCTGGAAGGCGAGAGGGACCAAGGACACAACGTTTGGTAGTCAGTGACTTCATTTCCCGAAGCCAAGTCCGAGTACATGGCAAGTAAACTGTCCACATATTTCATGGGAACACCTTTCTGCACAAGTATTTGGAACGGAATAGACCGATCAACTGAGTCAAACGCACTCTTGATGTCGAGGAACACAGCTATTGTCAATTTGCTCTAGCACATGCTGCAGAGTGAATATATGGTCTATACAGCCCCGCCCTGAGTGGAAAGCTGCTTGCTCTTCCATAATCCAGGATTCCCGTTTCGCAGTGAAGCCACGGAGTACTGAGGTAAGTAACTTTGCCACCACCGGTTAGGCTAATGCCCTGTGGTTAGCACAGTCGGTGCGACTATCCCTTTTATACATTGCCACTACAATCGATTCACTACAGTTAGCTGGAACGGTCTCTTCCTTCCAGACCTGTTCGAACAGAGATGTCAGTGCTCTGCAGAGAAACTCACCACCGTCCTTAAAGGATGCGGGAATCCGGGCCAGCAGCTTGAAAACGATTAAGGGATGCGATTGCGTTTCATACCTCAGCTTCCATGGAAGCACTAAATTAACCGGCCATGGATGTCGGCATCATCGTCGTCATCATCATCATCATCATCATCATCATCATCATCATCATCATCATCATCATCATCATCATCATCATCATCATCATCATCATCATCATCATCATCATCATCATCATCATCATCATCATCATCATCATCATCATCATCATCATCATCATCATCATCATCATCATCATCATCATCATCATCATCATCATCATCATCATCATCATCATCATCATCATCATCATCATCATCATCATCATCATCATCATCATCATCATCATCATCATCATCATCATCATCATCATCATCATCATCATCATCATCATCATCATCATCATCATCATCATCATCATCATCATCATCATCATCATCATCATCATCATCATCATCATCATCATCATCATCATCATCATCATCATCATCATCATCATCATCATCATCATCATCATCATCATCATCATCATCATCATCATCATCATCATCATCATCATCATCATCATCATCATCATCATCATCATCATCATCATCATCATCATCATCATCATCATCATCATCATCATCATCATCATCATCATCATCATCATCATCATCATCATCATCATCATCATCATCATCATCATCAATCATCATCATCATCATCATCATCATCATCATCATCATCATCATCATCATCATCATCATCATCATCATCATCATCATCATCATCATCATCATCATCATCATCATCATCATCATCATCATCATCATCATCATCATCATCATCATCATCATCATCATCATCATCATCATCATCGTCATCATCATCACCATCATCATCATCATCATCATCATCATCATCATCATCATCATCATCATCGTCATCATCATCATCATCATCATCATCATCATCATCATCATCATCATCGTCATCATCACCATCATCATCATCATCATCATCATCATCATCATCATCATCATCATCATCATCATCATCATCATCATCATCATCATCATCATCATCATCATCATCATCATCATCATCATCATCATCATCATCATCATCATCATCATCATCATCATCATCATCATCATCATCATCATCATCATCATCATCATCATCATCATCATCATCATCATCATCATCATCATCATCATCATCATCATCATCATCATCATCATCATCATCATCATCATCATCATCATCATCATCATCATCATCATCATCATCATCATCATCATCATCATCATCATCATCATCATCATCATCATCATCATCATCATCATCATCATCATCATCATCATCATCATCATCATCATCATCATCATCATCATCATCATCATCATCATCATCATCATCATCATCATCATCTCATCATCATCATCATCATCATCATCATCATCATCATCATCATCATCATCATCATCATCATCATCATCATCATCATCATCATCATCATCATCATCATCATCATCATCATCATCATCATCATCATCATCATCATCATCATCATCATCATCATCATCATCATCATCATCATCATCATCATCATCATCATCATCATCATCATCATCATCATCATCATCATCATCATCATCATCATCATCATCATCATCATCATCATCATCATCATCATCATCATCATCATCATCATCATCATCATCATCATCATCATCATCATCATCATCATCATCATCATCATCATCATCATCATCATCATCATCATTACACATGTCAGCTAGAGATGGTAAAACACCTCCGCTATTGTACCGCAATACATAAAGGAAATACATACATACATACAATACATAAAGGAAAAATAAATACGACAGTTGAATGCCAGCTGAGCTACCAGCAACGGATACGCATCGTTCCGGTAAGCTACTAGCCGGCTACTAGGCAAAAACAAAATTTAATTACGTTTTACCCTACGAAATAAGATCGTAGATGGAGGGGGAGGCTAAAGGGATGGGGAGGGACAAAGAAACTCACAGCAGGAACGCCACTGAGGTCGGCTCCTTGCCATATCAGCAAGTGTATCCAGCCAAACGTGTTCACCGTCTTTTGGACCCCAACCAGGGAGCCGTGAAGCTCCAACCGAGGCCAGCTCAGAAGTGAGGGCCTTCATTCCTCTGGACCAAGTCATCGCTTGGCCACCTCTCCTCTTCTTCCACCCACATCCCCGGTGAGCAAACAACGCACGTCGAGGGAGTCGGTGGGCTGGCATGCGCAACATGTGGCCCAGCCATCGGAGCCTGGTGAGTGAAATGACGGTGCTGAGCGGTTCATTCCCTTTTCCTAGGCCGTAAACAAGGCGTCGAACACGCTCGTTACTCACGCGGTGTTCCCACCAGATGTGAGCCAAACTGCGAAGGCACCGATGGTCGAACGTAAGTAGCCTCTTCATGTCCGCCGATCTTAGGGGCCAGGTTTCGCAACCGTACAGTAAGGTCGAACGTACCGCTGCATTGTACACTCTATCCTTCAGGGCGAGAGTAATGTCGCGCCGTCGCCATAGGTGGCGAAGGTTAGCAAAAGCACTTCGAGCTTTCGCTATGCGGTTCGTGATCTCGTCTTCGATCCCAAGGGCGCTGATACAACTTCCCAGGTAATTGAATTTCTGAACGACTTCTAGCTGATCCCCACCAAGGGTCAGCACAGGGGGCGAACCCTGCCAATCCTGGAGGAACGCTTTGCACTTCGGTGGTGCAAAGCAAAGTCCGAAGCGACTGACAGCCAGTGCTAATCTGTCCAGCGCGGATTGACACGTCTGGGAGCTGTCACAGATGAGGGCAATGTCGTCTGCATACTCTAAGTCAAGAAGTCGTTCTCCTGGGAGTAGCTCCACACCTTCCAAGTCATGTCCTGTAAATGCAATCTCCATGACTTCGTCAATAGCGAAGTTGAATAGGAAAGGTGACAGCGGGCATCCTTGTCTCACACCGCTGGAGATATTGAAGGGTGGCGACAGCCTGCTGTAAGCCCTTACTCTGCCCGTGCTACGCGCATATAATGCTTGGATAATATTTACATATTTCTCGGGCACACCTTTCCTGAGTAGACAATTCCAAAGGGCACATCGATCAACCGAATCGAAGGCACCTTTGATGTCGAGGAACACGACAACGGTGGGCTGCCAATATGTGTGACGGTGCTCCAACAACTGACGCAAGGTGAAGATGTGGTCGATGCAGCCACGACCACGACGAAACCCGGCTTGCTCCTCACGAATCTGGCTTTCACGAGCGCCAGTCAGTCTGTGGAGAATTATGGACGCGAGTAATTTGGAGGCGATGGAGATCAGACTGATTCCTCTATGGTTGCCGCATTCCGAGCGCGAGCCGCCTTTGAAGATGGGAACAATAACGGAGCGGCTCCAGTCGGTTGGGACAGTTTCCTGCTCCCACAGTTTCACTAGTAATTCATGCAAAGCATCAACAAGAGCAGAGCCTCCAAATTTGAAGAGGGCTGGAGGAAGATCATCTGGTCCTGCGGCTTTGTTCAACTTCAACAGTCCGATCTCACGTTCGACTTCTGAGCGAGAGGGTGGATCCAAAGGGACAGCCCACGGAGCGGGGTGATCAGTGACCGGCGAATCGAACAATTCTTGCCGATTAAATTGCTTTTCAAAATGCTCAGCCCAACGCTCCAGACGTTTTGACAAATTGTGGATAGGCTGTCCACTCTCATCACAAATTGTTTCACTAACACCAGGTCTCCTGCTGCCCGTTTCCCGTATCAGACGGAATAACTTACGATGGTTGCCAAGGGCAGCGGCCACTTCCATCTCTGACGCACGATGAG